CTGATAGTAATGATATTGCTAACAATAACAATAACAGCAACAACACACCAACAGCTTTACTATATTTTAATCCTATTTTCGTTAGTTTCTTGTGATTAACGTAATGAATGACGAAAAGAAACCGCACATATTTAGTCGTAAGATGAAAATGATATTAGTTGATCTTGTTAGCGATTAATATAAAGATGTAGATAGATAGATAGATATCCAAATATATGTTTTTATCATTCATTTATTGTCATTGCTTGGAAAAATATATTTTCGTCCTTTATGCTTATTATATATAACATATAACTCGTAAATGTCGTTCGAGTGCAGGTTCAATACTCCATTTTACAAGCAGAGAACTAGTTTCTGCAACAATTTGTATATGACAAGCAACGCTTTGTCTTAACAATCATTTTTTTCACAAATTAGGTATGAACTAAATGCAAAATTGTTTTTTTTTTTTTTTTCCACCGTGAGCTTGAATGTTGATCAACATATGCACTTAAGCTGGTTTGGTGGTTACAGATTGAGAACCTAAAGTATTTTACAGCGGAGTGAAACAAGTTTTTAAAACTGGAGCTCTAATATTTTATGGCAATTGCAAGTTATGAGGACAATTACAGTAGATCTTTGAATTAAATTTGTTATAATCATTAGCACTAATGCTGTTCATTGCAAGTATTGCGATCGTCGTTAGTGCTAATATCATTTTTTTCATGTTTTTATTATTGTTGTTTAACTATGTTGCTGCTGTTCTTGTTTTGCTGTTTTTTTGTTGCTCCTGTTGTTGTTCTTGGTAGTGGTGTCATCATTATTATCATTATCATTATCGTTATCATTATTATTATTAGTAGTAGTAGTAGTCGTAGTTGTACTATTATTATTATTACTATTATTATCATTATTGTTATTATTATTATCATCATTATTATCAGTAATACTACTACTCCTATTACCATCATTATTATCATTATCATTATCATTATTATTATCATTATATTCATCATCACTTTCATTATTATCATTATTTTTATCATAATCATTTTGACATTATTACAATTTTTTTATCATTATTATTATCATCATCGTGATCTATCATTATTCTTATTCTTATTCTTATTCTTGTCATTATTATTATTATCATCCTTATCATTATCATCATTATTATTACCTCCGCCAAGGAGGTTATATTTTTGACGGCGTTGGTTTGTTTGTTAGCAGCCTAGCTCAAAAAGTGCTGGCCGGA